TGGTTTAAATAGCTCCCTCGCGAGCTTCCTTATTTGGGCCGCTCGGCCCGCTCTTTTGCCCCGGTGTCCCATTTCGCGAGTCCTGTAGTAACCCCATGATTAAATGCGGCCCCCTTCATGCCGGATATCGGGATATTACAATGGTAAAGGTGTTGGTGTTCCGAGAAGCGAACCTCAGAGTGTATTCGCGACTGACGATGGAGCGTGTGGTCGTATTAAAAGAAAATCGAAAGGAGTCGCTCGACGTAAGCGAGCGCGCACCCCGAAGAGAGTATCGTGAGGGAAGACGGGAGTCGCTCGATATAAGCGAGCGCGCACCCCGATGAAGGTGGCGTAAAGGAAGACGGGAGTCGCTCGACGTAACCGAGCGCGCACCCCGAAGAGAGTATTGTAAAGGAAGACGGGAGTCGCTCGACGTAAGCGAGCGCGCACCCCGAAGAAGGTATCGCAAGGAAAACGGGAGTCGCTCGACGTAACCGAGCGCGCACCCCGAAGAGAGTATTGTAAAGGAAGACGGGAGTCGCTCGACGTAAGCGAGCGCGCACCCCGAAGAAGGTGGCGTAAAGGAAGGCGGGAGTCGCTCGACGTAAGCGAGCGCGCACCCCGAAGAAGGTATAGTAAAGGAAGGCGGGAGTCGCTCGACGTAAGCGAGCGCGCACCCCGAAGAAGGTGGCGTAAAGGAATTATCTAGCGGCGCAACTCACACGCACCGGTATCGCAAATACACTCGATGTATATAAAAGAAAAAGAAAGATAGAAAAGAAATGTAATTCACCTTTATTGATTGGCGTAAAAGAAAAATCCTCGACAATTCGCTACTCGGAGATCACTGCGTCGGAAACACCCTGGAATATACACAATTAGCGAGACCCGACTTTCGAAAGCCTTGTTTTAAATGTAATGAAGAGTTACCCGTTCGATTATGTCCTTTCGCGTATAACGACTGTATAGCGACGTATAAAGACTACCGACTACACAACTAATCGTCTCGGCTTTCGAAAATCGAATCACACTCGGGCTCCAAAATCACCCGAATATATACCCCTGATTTGAGGGTGGAGAGGGTATTTTTGTCGCAATCTCCGAGAAATTATTCCGCACAAACACTTCGCGGAATATTACAATAATTATTATTCGCACTTGTGCATAATAGAAATACAAAAGAATAATTGAAATTAAATCTCTGAACTATCAGAGAATAAAGGGACTTGTTTGTCGGTAGTCACGCGTGTACCGAGTGGAGCGAGCGCGCGCCCCGGCTGACGCGCATTCCGTCAGGTGTGCTGGCACTCGGGCGGTTGCAAC